AGAACATTATATGTTTTAAAGGCATATCAGAACGAGTGGCTCTACTTCAACTTACTATCAACAACATTGAAGTAAGCATAATACAATGTTACGCTCCCACCGAATCATCGAGTGATACCGAGACTGAACTCTTTTACACCACTGTAAACAAAGCATTACTTATTGCAGGCAAAAATTTAATAGTATTGGGTGACTTTAATGCCAAAATTGGGCAACCAAAACGAGAAGAAAATAATGTAATGAAAAAGCATGGCTTTGGTAACAGAAACCACAGAGGTACTAGGCTTATAGAATTTGCATTTGAAAAGAATGTAGTAATTTTAAACACTTTCTTTAAGAAGAAGAACAGCAAAAGATGGACCTGGAGATCACCGAATGGTATGGTAAAAAATGAAGTGGACTACATACTAACTAATCTCCAAAAATATGTACACAACATGCAAGTGATTAATGTAAAGTATCCCAGCGACCATAAAATGGTGAGAGCCACGCTGAATATGCAGTCTTCAAAGAAAAGTAGAAAAACCTTTGAGAATAACGTAAAAATTACTTTAAACAATGAAATTGAAATACAAACATACAAAAAATCACTTTGCGAAGACTTAGAATACCTACATACTCGACAAGAAATATATACAGTGCAAAACTTTCATGATGAAATTATTTCTGCTATAAATAATAGCCTCAAAAAAGCTAAAACAACCTCACAGCAAAATAACACCATTTCTGTTATTTCACCCAATACTAAAAAATTGATGTTAAGACGACAATATTTACAAAACCTGAAACCAAAAACAAGGAGTATGAAAGAAGAGTTAAAAGCTCTCTACAAACTTATTAGCAAACGTATTAATCTAGACTACAAATCTCACCGTAGGAATACTATTGAAAAACATATAACTCAGCCTGGAAGTTTAAAGAAAGCCATTAGAGAATTAAGAACACATACGAACTGGATAGAAGGCCTAGAAGCTTCAAACAAAAGAACTTGTCATAGAAAAGAAATAATTCAAGTTGCTACTAATTTCTATAGAAATTTGTACTGCTTTGAAAACCATGATACCACTCAAATTATACTAAGAGACACAACACTACAAATACAAGACATAGAAGAAGCGGAGGTATTAAAAGCAATTAGTAAACTAAAGTCAGAAAAGAGCCCGGGACCAGACAAAATAACTAACGAAACCCTGAAAATTGCATGTCAACACTTAGCAGGCCCTTTAACACAGTTATTTAACTTAGTAATAAGAACCGTAACTATACCAAAACAATGGGCTGAATCAGACATTGTCTTATTATACAAGAAGGGAGACCCGCACAATATAAGTAATTACCGACCTATAAGCCTGCTGCCATCCATTTACAAATTATTCTCATCAATTTTAGAAAAAAGAATCAGAAGTACCATAGAAAAACATCAACCTATAGAACAGGCCGGATTCCGGAGAGGATTTTCTACCATGGACCATATCCACTCTATCGAAATGGTTATAGAAAAATACCAAGAGTTCAAGAGACCGCTCTACCTAGCGTTCATCGACTACCAAAAAGCTTTCGATACTTTGTATCATCACTCTATTTGGGAAGCTCTACAATCACAAAATATTGAAACTGAATATCTCAAGGTTCTACAACATCTATACCAAAACTGCAACAGTAGAATTAGATTAGATTCGACTGGTCCCCCTATACCCATCAAAAGAGGGGTTAGACAGGGCGATCCTATTTCCCCAACAATTTTCATAGCGGTACTACAATACGTGATCGAGAAGCTTGCCTGGGAAAGAGTCGGTTTAAACATAAACAATGAGTATATAAGTCACTTAAGATTCGCAGACGATATCGTCCTATTTTCTGAAAGTACAAGACAACTACAATCAATGATAAACGCCCTCCACACAGCTAGTTTACAGGTTGGTCTAGAAATAAATCGCAATAAAACAAATATCATGACAAATAACAGCAGGAACCCAATATACCTAGAAAATGAAAAGTTAGAATATGTCGACACTTATATTTACCTGGGGAAGCAGATATCATTCGATAAGCAAAGAAATTACCATGAAATAGAAAGAAGAATTGCAAACACATGGAAGAAATTTTGGAGTCTGAAAGAAGTTTTAAAAAGTGAAATGCCAATTAGAATTAAACAAAAAGTCATGGATACCTGTATTCTCCCATCACTAACTTACGGCAGTCAAACTTGGAAGTTCACTATAAAAGCTAAAAACAAGATTAGGTCATGCCAAAGCGGGATGGAAAGAAGCATATTAAACTTGAAAAAGATACAAAAAGTACCAAATAAAACTATTCGGAAAAAGACTAAGGTTGTTGATGCTCTATGTCACTGCAAAAAATTAAAGTGGCGCTGGGCCGGCCACATAACGCGGCTGACAGATAGCAGATGGACGAAGAGATTGACGTCTTGGGTCGGACCAGCAGGCTCTAGGAAGAGGGGCAGACCAGTTGCCCGGTGGACCGATGACATAACTCAAGTGGCCGGCGATCGTTGGATGGACACAGCAACCGACAGGGACGCTTGGAAATCTCTAGAGGAGGCCTTCATCTTCGATTAAGAGGGGTTCTTACTACTTAGCGCACAGATTACTGTATAAAATTAGATAAAATAATAGTAGTAGTAGTATTTAATAGTTTTAAGATTAATTGTAACTGTATTTTTAGTAAGAAATAAAAGGCTTTTTTATTTTATTTTATTTTTATTTATTTATTTTATGTTTATATGTATGTATATTGTATATGTGTTTTAAACCTCCTTTCTAAGAAGAGGCTTGTATCCAGCAGTGGACTATTAAAGGCTGTTGATAATGATGATGGTATGTGTTTTATGTGTAAATATTTATTTAATTTTACCATTGCACCTTCAACTACTACTGTCTCTCCAAACATTTTAATCCATCCTAAGTAAGGTTGCCTGTAAGAAATTGCTCTTAGCAATAAGGCCGCCCTGTATACATTACATGTCTGATACTTTTATGTACCATAATACTTGTAAAATGTGTGCAAAGAAAGAGTTATCTATCTAGCTATCTATCTATCTATCTCTTGTGTAGATTCTAAAGTCATAGATCAACACACACACAATAGCAACAATCTCTGTTTTGTCAAATATTTAGCAAACTAAATATATTACTAAAATCTCTTATATGCCTGTTCCGATTTACAACCGCCAATTTCCAAGAGGTTGAGCCTAATTAGAAGAAAGGGCAAGCAAACTCTCTGCCACTCTTTTCCATCAACAGTTAACAATGGCATCATTAAATATACACAACATTGTTTTGATGTGTGCCAGTATGTGAGTTTTAAGGACTAAAAGGTAAAAAGGCAATCAAGACAAAACAAGATATAGAAATAAGATGGAATAAAAAAGAATGTGAAGTAAAAAAAAATAATGGAAAATTAAATAAAAGACTATACACTCAATACAATATACTCTATGTGGGCCCCACTGTAGCTTAGAATCTACTGTTATTCCTAAAAGTGTCGTTGTAGCCACAACCTTAAGCTCGACATCCTTAATCATCACAGTGGTTTTCATTGGCTTGACGTTTGGCGCGTTTTTTCATTCTAAAGCACATTGTTAACGTCAAACCAATGAACCACTTTCGAAATGGCGTTGTTTACGTCTATGAAATTAGTAAGTCTACGTTTGGGTTTAAATAATAGTGATGTATCATCTGCAAAGAACACATTCTCGTGATTATCCTTGACAAGGTCAGGTAAGTCATTAATATATACTAAAAACAAAAATGGGCCGAGAATAGAACCTTGTGGAACGTCCATTTCTACCACAGCACCGTTAATATCAACTTTCTGAATCCTATTAATTAGATATGAAGCAAGAAGTTCCTTCATTACTTTTTTAAATAACTAGTGAGCCCGCAAACTTAAACGTTATCGGGTTTGCTATTTGTTTAATAAATATTCATATTAGTTATGGTTTAAACTTATCAATATTTTTTTAAATTATTTTTTAGCAATTCAAACTTTTTCGTAGGTTTTTGAAAACAAATCTTATACACAATCCAATCCATCAATTAAATTAGCAATTATAAATACAACAAAAAATCTGTTAAATCAGTCGAGACCTCCATAATAACCTGCATAGTATTCGATGTTTATAAGAACTGGGCATACTGAAAGTTTCTGGATCTGGCCACTTAAAATAAAATAATTAAAAAACAATTATGGAATTCGAAAATGGAACTCTTTGGAATCATGTTCCTTTATAATTTGCAAGACTGTTATTTATTTTTTTGTTGTGACGTCCTTTCGAAAATTGTGTGTCGCTATCAAAATGAATTTAACTCGTGAACATTATCGTTCAATGATTTTTTATGATTGTTGTTTAAGGTTGTGGCTTAAGTCAACAAGAAAGTTGCCAGAGATTTCAATTGGGATTTGGTGATGAAGTACCATTTTGCAGCTCTGTGTATTCTTTTACTGGATCTTCTACTTCAAATAAGATCAAAGTTTTATTTTTATAAAAGACAGCTCCCGCATTAGGAAATTATCTTGTGTCGCGGGGGACTTTACAAACATACATGAAACTGACACAAAGAACACCCAGACTCGAGAAACAGTTTGTAGATCGCACAAAGTGTCGTCCCATATGGGGTTTGAACCCACAACACTCGACGTACTTAAACCACTACGCTATCCGTGCAGTGAATATGTCATTCAGTTCAGTTGATTAAATATTAACACAATTGCAGACTTTTAAGGAAATCAGAAATAACAACTATGCTTCTCTGTTAATGTCTAATCACAGTAAGTGTTCGAACCATTGTGTTTGGGTGACACAGTGTCTAGGCAGACTAATCCTCTCAACGCAATGGTTCGAACTTCTAATTAAGTTCTGGGTAATAATGTTTTTGTTTCCATAATATCCGCTACAATCTAGACATGTGCACAAACTTTTAACGATTTTTATAAACCCACATTAAGTTTAATGAGGTAAAAAAATTAAAAATACATACCTGATTTCGCTAACATAAGAAAATATGGGAGCTTCCATAAATCCAGTTCCTAAGCCCAAAAGACCATTTGCAATAAATAAGGATGGTAGATTCCACGAAAAATACATAAGAATCCAGGCAATAACATGAGGAATGTTAACCAAGAATGTAGCTTTCTTCCTGCCGAAATAGTCCACCACCGGTCCTGATGCTAATGCACCAAAGGGCTGGGTCAAGAACGGAAGACTACCTGTAGATCAATTATCTTGGTAATTCGTGGTTGGAGCTGTATGGTTTATAGAGATAAATTTAGTTTATATTTCATAGTATAACTTTACATTACAGCCGTAGTAAGAAACTTGTTCGTGTGTGAAAAAAGTGGTAACTAGTGATTTTATTAATAAGCATGTATCTAATGTATAATTATAATAAAATAACAGTCACTAGAAATGAAAACTTACCAAACCATGACGCCTGGTTGTCTGTAAGGGAGAGACCCTCGGCGGCATTTAGAAGGCTCGGTACTGCGATCGTAACGAAACTGACTGATAAGCCTATGTCCATTAAAAGTAGATTGGGAACCATGCTCGCTAAAAACTGAAACGAGAATTCTCTATGTGACTAGGTGTTAAAAGTAAGAATATAAAACTTGTGAGTACTCATGTATTGATTAAAAGTTCCTTTGCTTAAGATAATATTCGGTAGCTACCAGGTTGGCAGTAGGCTAGTTTAAAGAATTCTGATAATATTTTAATTGTTTCTGCAATCACTTGTACTGCTTTGCAATAGGTAGGTAATTTAGTAGTAGAGAATAATACGAAAGTGTATAATTTTCAATTTATAATTTAATATTTTAGTTGACTCGTTACCAGACAATTGATTATTTCGTAGTTTCGATATGGTCGATTGGGTAATTTATTGCGTTTCCGCTAATTAGTGCATCTTCCGGGGATTACAACTGTGTCCCCTTGAATTGATTTTTATTTTAGGAAATAAAAATATGTCTATGACTAAAACCGCACGCCGTCTCAAGTACCAGTAGTCGGGGAACCAGGTGTACCCTAGAAAGGAAATCCCTGGTGCCCCGACGTACCTCGGGCCATCTACGGCGGGTAGACGACCCCCCCTGTGTGGGAACCCCCATGTTCCCTCTGTGCTCCCGGAAGGGCGCGTTCGCCGCCACCCCGGCCTGCTTCTGCTAGGGTGACAGATGGCCTCACCTGTCACCCTCAGGCCTGCGCTTATGGAGAACGGAGGTCGTTCTGCGACCTCCGGCGCCTCAGTCGTCTGCGGTACCTGGCCCGTTCCCGTGGCTGGCTGGCCGGGAGAGTTCTAAACCTCTCCCGGTCCCGCTCCACCATCTCCTTCGCAAGCATAACGCAGAAGGAGACGCACTCTCGCTCCGTACGATAGCCGCAATCAGGTTATCGAGCGAGAGAACTCCCACTCCGATGGCCGCCACGAGGTCACGCCTCTGTTCCACCCACGCCGGGCATTCTGCCAGCGTGTGGAGCGCCGTGTCCACGGTCTGACCATCGCAGTGGTGGCACTCAGGCGTTGGATCAGACACAGGTGATCCCCGAAACATCCTTTCCCAGTGATCACCTGCGTCAGTCAGTATGAGAGGGTCCCGTGATGCCTCTCGAGCCAATCCTCCATAACGGGTCTTAACGCCGCAATGACTGGGTGCCCGATCCAGGAAGCCCCTCGATTTAAAAGTCAAGTGCATCGGTGCATTATTGTGATAAAGAGCAGCTTTATCTCTCAATACTTTTATTTTAAAATTTCCAATACATAGATTCCAAATACATAGAAACATCTTTTTCGCCAAACTTTTTATATATGTGTTCAACCATCTTTTGAGGGTTTTCTGTAATCAATATTGGTAGGATGTTACTGGTAACAACTAAACAAATCGACCACTTAGCGACAGTTATACAAAACATCCTCTCGTAAATGATCTGATTGTGTTATGACCGGAAAAAGCCTGGCATGGAAATTATTGATTTTTTATCAATGAGTGCGCATTGATGTGTTTGACCTGCTCAATTTTGCTTAACCTCTATGATTGATGGATCTGCGTGATTGCGTCACTCCGGTCTCAGTACACTTTTGCCTGTGGTTTCGTTATTGTTAATGTATATTGTCATTAAATACAGGTACCAAGCCCTCTAGATCTGTTCTTCTTTCTCGGTTAAAAACTAAATACAACAAAAAATCTCCTTGTTTTGTGCTCCTTTCTTTCTGTGCAGAAATCCCTTCGGATACACCGCACCGGTGGTTCTGTTGGACTCGAAATAAAACCACATGCTGTTTCGGGTACCAGTTGCCGGGAAACGGCTTAAACGGCTTGATGACTTTGAGCATTTGAGGTGTCGTTAGAATTATCTAAATTGTGGATTTATAAAAATTAAAAAGAGTAAATCACCGGTTTGTTTGTAAGTAAGTATTACATTTTCACGTAGATGCGCAGTTATAATTTTAAACACTATTTTTTTCGCATGTAATGTGTGTTCGTGTTTTATTAGTCAAAACGTATACGTAAACGTATACTATTGTCTTTTTCCTAATTAAGTCTGACGATAATGTCATAGAAACCGTGTCTTCTACCGCATCTTAATTAGTTTTGTAAAACAAATAAAATCGTTATTGTCAAAGAATTTGCTACACAGATTTTAAACTGATGAATATTTATTAATTTAGATTTTTAGTAATGCAAATCTTTTATGTATCTACTAAGCTATTTTCTGTAGATGAAACTTGGATACACCATTATACGCAGTAAAGCTATTTTCTGGACGATCTAAGAAATTTGAAGCAGTAAATTTGTCATAGCAGCAGCGTCTCTTCGTCTTTCATTTATCAAATGCGTATGTATGTATATTGTAACTATTTCTCTACAAAACTGTTAACTATTTCTGTCATTTTTTTTCCTTAGTGTTGCAATTTCAAAAAAACTTATGGTTACTACTAAATTGCGCCAACAGAGCGTTGAAAATGTTCATTCATAACGTTTTTGGTCTAACGTAAGCAAACGCGGCACCCAACGCTCGGACAGCTTTCTCATGTCTAAATGTTGATTTAATATGTGACAAACACATATTAAATCAACTTATTTTGACTGTTATTTTGACTTTAATTCTCACTTTAATTCCGCGGTTGTCTAGCACCATTTGGTGATCTTTGGCGATGTTTTCGTCTTTGGCCCAAGCTCTTACGGCAACGTTTAAATTCAGCTGCCCAAAATTTTACCGTCTTAAATGATGGTGCAGAGTTCCCATACACAGAATCCAACTCATCTTTGATTTGCGTAGGCGTATTGCCTTTTAAAAACAAATATTTATTAACAGTTCGATACTCGATTTTTTCCATCTTCATAAAAACACTCACATCAACTCACTCAAACAACTGTTACATAACAATTGGGCGCCCAAAATGGCTGAAACTTTGGCGAGTAACTGTCAACAGATTAACAACGAAATTCACTGGCTTTTATTCACGAGTGTTGCCATTTTCGTGTTGAGGTCGAAAACTTTTCAGAACACCTGTGTAATTCCTATGTGAACGACCTACTTCTAGCTCATGCAAGCTAACTTGCAAAATAAAGAAATGACTAATCAAATGGCCTTTAGATTTTGCTTCCTGCCTTCCGGGTTGAGGTCATGAGTCCTAGAGTACAGTAGTGCTAGTCTTATTCCACAATTTTACACAAACCGAGACACCGCCGCGCCGAAATAGCTACAAAATATGCGCAGGATCATGATTTTTCAACGAAAGAACGAATATAACTAGTTAGTGTATTTTTGTTCAAAATCAGGATTGCCTCATTCAACTGTCCCGCTTAATTAACTTCAATAAATTAAAATATGTCAGAAGCGTTAACGAAAAATCACTTATCAAGCGATACTAATATTATATTGAATTGAGTTTGAATTGAGATTGTAATTTATTAACGACCAATAAACTACATGCTATTTAACAATATTTGGTATGAATTAGACTACCCAGAATCACAAATAAACAGGCTAGGTAAAAAAAAAATACGGCAATTTTTAAAACCCATATAAATAGTGTGATTAATTTCAGACTATAATCTATCTCTGTGTCAAATTTTATTCAACACCATTCAGCCTTTTAAGCGTAATTGAGGAACCAACATCCAAACATCCATCCTCACTTACTTGCGAGTTTATAAAACTTGTAATAACCCTCAAGGCAACTCCGTTATCAACAGTGAGTTCCTCTCTGATTGTACCGTACCTACAGCTCAAGTTACAATTTTTTTTTGTTTTTATTATTAATTTTATTACGTAACACGATCGCAAGAAATTAGTTGCGCATCCATTTGTATAGCCAAAACTTTGTCTGCAAAGGAATGTGTTACTTTGTACCAAAATTTTAGCACATTGCGCAATTTTAGCACACACAAAAAATGTGCATTTGTAAAAGTGTATGTAACACTTTTACAAATGCACGTTTTTTTATTTCTATTCCACAGTTTCAGTGTATGTTACTTTGTAATGTAAACTTCCTTAGTGTATAAAAGTGCTATGAAATAGAACCTTGAAACAACTTTATTTTTTTATGTGTCAAGTACGTTTTACTAAATTGTAGCGCAGTTACTTTTTCACAAACAAATAGTAAATAAGTTAACATGAAATAGAAATACAATACCTTTACCGCTATAAGGTAAATGAGCCGTTTAATACCCACCATCTTTGTACTTGCAAGGTTAGCATAAATTATGTGTGTTTAGATATAAAGGATCCTTCCAGTTTCCTCAGCTAAGAAGCAAAGTGAAGACCAAAGCCTTTACCTTGATATGGACAACATACGAGTTGTCGTTGTCTCAAAAATAGTTCGATTGTTCTATATTTTCGATTGTTTTTCACCGCGATGATTACCTACTCTTTATAAAAATTAAAATACGTCAGAAATTAAAACTTACAAATTTACGTATGAAATTGCCGTTTTGTAAGCAATAAGTGAAAGTACTTATTTTTTCAAACTTTTTATTTCTGTTATTCGAAGTAATCACCCATGCAATCGACGCATCTTTGCTAACGCATTGGCAGTTTATTAATGCCCTTCTTGTAAAAATCAGCTGAACGGGAGGCAACAAACTCTTCAAAGGCATTTTGTACTGCCTCTCGGGAATTGAATTTTTTACCCACTAAAAAGTTGTCTAAATTTTGGAAAAAGTAATAGTCGGTAGGTGCAAGGTCTGGTGAGTACCAAGCAACCAGCTTTGGTCAATCGGTCGTCCCCACTGCTTTTTCACGACAACGCGCGACCCCATACTGCGCAACAGACAGTCTCCAAGCTGCAAGAGCTGGGGTTGGAAGCTCTCCCTCATCCGCCATACTCACCAGACCTTGCACCTTCCGACTGCGTTGGCAAAGATGCGTCGATTGCATGGGTGGTCACTTCGAATAACAGAAATAAAAAAGTTTGAAAAAATAAGTACTTTCACTTATTGCATACAAAATGGCAATTTCATAGGTAAAGACCAAGACAAGACATTAAGACATTATATATATATTTCATCCTTAAAAAAACTCAACTCAAAAGTCCTGATTTTTTGTTTTACTATTAACTGATTTCACAAACCTAGCCCAAATACTCCTAATTTTAAGAAAGGGACAGGGTATCATAGATCGGTCACGGTTGTTGATCCATGATTACCATGATCCATATGCATTCTAAGTTTTGAACATTTTCTTGTAAACTTCCCATAAATTCAAACTCAAACATCGTTATTTCAAACAAAAAGTTTATTAAAATCCTCTCTTATGTAGACTCTAAAGTCATAGATACACAATAGCAACAATTTCTGTTTTGTCAAATATTTAACAAATTAAATACATACGTATCGAAAAGGGTTGAGTCTCATGAAAAGAAAGGGCAAACAAACTCACGGCCACTCTTTTTTAGTCAACAGATAACAATGGCAACATTAAATATACACAACATTGTTTTGCTGTGTGCCAGTATGTGAGTTCTAAGGACTAAGAGGTAAAAAGGCAATCAAGAGAAAACAAGATATAGTAGAAAAAATATGAAATAAAAAAGAAAGTGAAGTAAAACAAATAAATGAAAATTAAATAAAGACACACTAGCACATCACATTACCACTATGAAATAGCCAGTGCTAAATTAATCCCAAGCATTCTTGTCTTCTATGTACTCCACAATTGAGTAAATAGGCTTTCTGACATAGTTTACGTTTTATTGTGGATTTAAATTGGTTTATATTAAAATCTTGTATACTATTATGGATTTTATTATAGAATCGGACACATTGACTTCGAAATGACTTGGTTATCTTTTGGAGCCTAGAGCCAAAAATATAAATAAACTCGTTGGTAAGAGTATTTAAAGCATGTACATCACTTCTTTTCAAGAAGCTATCTTTGTTTTTATGAAAATATATTACATTTTCATATACGAGTATATATTGACTTACAACTGTAATTATGTTTATTTCTCAAAAAAATTACCTCAATAAACAACGGTTGCCTAAATTATAAATTGCTCGAATCGATCTCTTTTGCAGCACAAAAATCGTTTGAATGTCGGCAGCATTCCCCCTACAGTAGAATACCGTACAACGTTATGCTATGAAAATAACTGAAGTAAAAAAGACGTGCTGTATCAATATCAGTGAATTCTCGAATTTTTTTAACTGCGTACGCTGCTGATCTGAGTCTACTCGATAATTTTGTCTATGGGAGCCCCAATGTAGTTAGAATCTAATGGTATTCATAAAAGTTTCGTTGTAGCCACAAGTTTAGCTCGACATCCTTAATCTTCACAGTGGTTTTACACTGGCTTTACGTTGGTGTGGTGAACCGTATTCACTTATTTTTTTTTCATTCAAAAGCAAATATTTAACGTCAAACCAATGAACCCCTTTCGAAATGGCGTTGGTTACGTCTGTGAAATTAGTAAGTGTAATTGCATTTTGAGTTAAGTCACATTTATTCTGAGAGGGCTATGTATAATACTTATCCTGGACTCCGAATAGTCCGGGCTACCCTGACAAATGTGCAGAAACTGCCGTTATTGCTCATCTTCTACATTTCATTTTTATATTTTTAAAAAGACAACTGCCGCTCTAGGATAAAATCCTGTGTTACGGGGGACTAAAAACACACACATGAAACGTACACATAGATCACCCAGACTCAGATCAACAATTTGTGGATCACACAAAGTGTTGTCCTATGTAGGGATCGAACCCATAACACTCAGCGCAGTAGGAAAGAGCAGTAAGTTGATCACAAAATAAATTTCTGAACGCACTCATAAATGTTTGATAACTAACAAATATCCTTTTGCACATCCTTAATCCTTCCTTCTTTATCAATAATTATTTCTCACAATGACAATATTTATTTGCATTTTTTAAATCTAAATACAGTTCTTCTTCATTTTTTAATCTCTGTTGTCGATTCGAAACCTTGTTTCATAATGATCTTTGGAGAGATCCGAGTTTATGGTACCGACGATTCCATCAAAATCTTTGACGTGGAGGAACGTTTCTATAAAAAAATAAAATGGTTGTTTTAACTACTTTCTTTCTATTTTTTCCATATGTTCTCACTGAACTTTTCCTAGAATTTTACTTATAGTTCAATACCAAAATTAGCCAAATCGGTGTTGCCATTACTGAGTTATAGTAAGACTAACGAACAGCAATTCATTTTTAAATAAAAGATTATTAATAGTGATGGTTTTATGTATATATATATATATATATATATATATATTATGTATTTTAGTGTGTGTATGTATGTGTATTTTTATTTGTGTTATATGAATAGCTAAACATTGGTATATGAGTGTCTTTACAGATATTTTGAAATATTCACATAATGGTATGTTACGTGTATGTAAAATACCCTTAATTTTTCCGTACATAATATCCGTATTAAGGTCATATACAATGTAAAAGATCGCCGTGAGCGATAAGGCCGTCCATTGCTACGACACATACTTGTAACTCATCTTTTTGTTATGTGTAAACAATGAAGATAATAACTAAAAAAAAATTTACTCATGAAGGTTTTCAAATTTAATTCAATCGTTTGACTTAGAATTTTTACGGTGTTGCCCGTTATTCAGACCGATGCTAATGCTAATCATTTGTCCAGTGGGAACTTTCCTCCCATCGTTCAGATCACCTTGTGATGTATGAAAGTATCCTTAACCACAAAAAGAGCTATTTACTTAACCTTTTTTTTCCGAAATTAAAAAGGTATATTGTGTTATAATTCAAGAATTCAAAATTCTAAAAACTGACCAAGTTTCAATTCTTCATTAATTAACCACATTTGGTATTTAAGAAAAGGTATTGTGTAGTAGTAGTAGTAAGTATTTAAATGTACTTTTTTACTAAGCCATTCTGGTAAATCGTTTACTAGCAACTTAATCTCAATAATGGGAAAAGAGTTCCCACTGGATAGACCAATTTGACCATCAGAAAACACCCAATCTTTAAATATTTTTTTTTTGGTAAAAAAATAAAAGTAACAGATTGATAGAAAAGATAAAAGTACTACAAATAAAAGTGTACACGTACTAAGACAATTCTAAAAATAAAATTTGATAAAACTATTTCAGTCGCCTTTAACAATTTCTAATATATTATCTGTTCTATGTCGTGTTATGTCTGTCTGTAAGGAAGATGTCAAGGAAATAATATAGTCGTAATGATATTTTTTTTATTGTTCTACCTTCAAAGTGATTTTCCTTTGTTGGAAAAGTAAATTACCAGTTGACAGTTTTCTTCATTATTATTCTTAGTAATCTGTTAAGCTAATAAAAACTAAAAAACTAGAAAAAATATACTCACTTGAGCTCCAATAGATCTTATTCTACTGACCGGTAGATTTAACTGACGCAATTCAGTTATTTTGTACACCATTTTTAACGATTTTGCTTTATAATAATTATTAATACTATAAATTAATTAAGTACAAAATAATGCAGTCTTCGTTTTAAATTTATAAATAAATTTATTTTTGTTACAAAATTATTTATCACTTTATTTTTTAATCAAAGACATTATGGAGCGACGTTATTTCTCTAAGGACAGACAAGCCAGTGCCGTCCAACTGAATCAACTGAAATGTGAAGGAATGGTTGCTAGACCACGATAGTGATTCTTTAAATGTTCGGCTCTTTAAATGTTATAATCTCTAACCTTATTTAAATGTGACATGGCAGTAATAAATGTTCGTATCTTTCCACGAGCTTACGGCACAACGGAATATTTGCTCAATTTACAACCCGACCGGGAATAGGACTTCACCTTACAGACTTTCTATCGAGCCGATCTATTCATGGGATGATCTTTTAATCTTTTTCTAGGAAGTTACTCGTATATAATGTCATTTTTGGAAAGAGCATAAGAAGGTCATTACAGGATCTCCGATATGTCATCGATTCCAACTGTATTGTTCAAAGGTTCATGTAATCGCTCAATATCATGTGTGGAATTATGTGTTTTTAGTTTGGTGTTGAAAATAAACATGACATGGGAAGTGTTATTTCTAGGAAGATATGATGGCCATTTAAAATAAAAAATGTTACTAGTTTTCAAAAGGATTCTTAGAAAACATCCTGAAAAAATACATTTTTTTATTCTATTAAATAACCTCCTTTCTAAGGAGAGGCTTATGTCCAGAAGTGGACTATTAAAGGCTGTTGATGATGATTCTATTAAATGACAAAAAAGTTAAAGATTTTGGATTAGTAAATTTTTTTTTTAACAACAAAGTAGGTAACATAGAGTTTTGTTTAAGGCTAGTAAATTCAAATTCAAATAATAACATATTAATATTCTACCACATACACACAACGCCATCTAGTCCCAAACTAAGCAGAGCTTGTACTATGGGTACTAGACAACTGATATAAATACATGTATACTTTTTTTTTTGTAAATACATACATATTATACACAGAAACACCCAGACCCAATCAAACATCAAATGTTAATGCACACAAATGTTTGACTTGAGCGGGAATCGAACCGGCGACCTTTGGAATAGCAGTCCGTTATACAAACCACTACGCCATCCGGTCGTCTGTCTTCAGTTAGTGTTTATGAAGTGCAATTCCAAACAGGTTGCTACGAACCTACTCAAAAGAATATTCAGTAGGATTTAATGCTTTGGTATGCAAGTTGCTAAAATGATATTCATATAAAAATATTTTTTAAATCTATTGTACTAAAAATCTGCATACATTCTAACATGTCCAAAGGTAATTTTTTCATGTCAATTGTCAACATTATTTTCAGGCAGTATTTGGCAGTACTTGGTCAGAATTAGATAAATACATATGTAAGGAATTAATAACGGCAAAAAAAACAAAAACAGCTGGTTGTTTGAACGAAACAGTTGTGGTGTGTGATTATGAATTTAATTAGCAAAGAAATGGGATTAGTTCCTACGCGCTCCAGGTAGGTTTGTATTTGCGAGTGGATACGTATTTCGTACCTTTCCATTAGATGCAGTTATAAAAAAAAGATAATTTTCGCTCACCAATTATGGCATCCAGTGTGAGACTAGGGTACTCACATTGGATGCCATAATTACTTAATTGGCCCTTGATCCAAAGGCGTTGAAATACATTTTCATGAAGCGAATCCAGGTCAATGTGGAGATTCACGCTCACCTTGAAGAAAATTATCGACTAAGATACAAGACAAAAGAAATAATTCCATACCTGAAAAAAGAATCAACACAAATATTTTAGTCAGTTGACACTGCTAAAACTTTCCGTGAAAACTATAGTCCCTTAAAGACATTAACGAGTGGTATATTTTTGTACCATGTGTCAAATCAAAGCTTTATCATCAAAAACTACGTAAACATTTATTTTATCTGCTTAATATAGTTTCTTTGTTTATTGAGAATATTTATGAGTTAAGCACTGTATGAATACATGAGAGCCTCACACATAAAGACTCTACGTTTCCACAGATTAGAGGTATAAACAGGCATGATACACTGAATTCGCTATGTTCAAATAATAATGTTGATTTATTTTATTTATTTATATTAATTACTACACGTATCACCAACATAATTAATTTAGGTTCGTAACTAATATATTTGCTAGGTACCACGTTCATGGATTTACCTTAACATGGTACAGTTTACTAGCTTTCAAAAGCTGGCAGATACAGCTGATAGCAAGGTTAACGTATTAACCTTGCTATCACTTGTACCCTGGTCCATTACTGGATTGTCTCTACAACCTCCTCCATGGACGATGATGTCGAGTGAGGGGCCCAGTGAGGGGCGGCAGAGCATTCTGCCGCCTTATGCCCCGTTTGACCGCAGCGGAAACACAGTCCGCCGCAGTCAAAGCAGCTATCGCACTTGACGCGCGTGTGTCCCGATGCTAGGCATTTGTAACACCTCATCGCTCTCGCCGCCAGGACTGTGATCCTGGCGCTCACGAAACCGATGAGCAGCCTGCCGGCGTCGGCCAATACTTTGGCCGACGCTACGGGACAGTTCACCCACACGGCGCCAAGCCCTCCTGGACCGGGGCGGATGGTGACGACCCTGACGTTGTCCGCGCTGCACCCCTTATTCTCCCGGATTACAGCGCGGACATCTTCGGCCGTCACAGAGTCGTCCAGGCCCGAGATGCGCAGCTCCGCGCACTTGGTAGGCCTGGCGATCTTCACACCATCCGTAGCCGTAAACAGTCCCCGCAGCTTCTCAGCAAATTCGTCCGCCGTCTTTGCGCCTTCAGCCCCTGGGAACTCGAGAACTCGAGCTCTGTCTCTGTCCCGGGCCTTTTTAAAGACGGCCGCGTAGGACAGCCCACCGTCAGCCGCTTCCGGGGAAACGGTCACCACTACAGCCGCGGTTTTGGGCGGCTGCAGCTTCCGCGGCCTCTTAGTAGAGGCCGTTGCCACCGGTAGCGAAGGCTGGGCTTGGGCTGCTTTTTGGGCAGCCCTTCTGGCCCGCCTTCGGGACTTCTTAAAGCCCTCGCCTCCTGCCAACCCTCGTTGGAGGGGGCAGGTGCGGAGGGGCCCGGCAGGGGTGTCGGAGTGGGGAGCGGAGGGAATGCCACTCCGCTCCTCGGTGCTGTTTTAGGCCCCGTCTTGGCCGGCACTTTGGCCTGCGCCTTGGCCGGCGCCTTGGCCGGCGCCTTGGCCGGTGCCTGGGGGGGTGCCTTGGCCGGCGCCTGGGCCGGTGCCTTGGCCCCCCTCCTCGGCTTTTGGGGAGCCGATGGAGTCGGGGCAGACGCCGCCGCCGCGTAAGAGTGAGAGACGCGGCCTCTCACCACGGGGAGCGCGGTCGGAGCGGCGGCCTTAGGCCGCTGTGCCGACGCGAGTGGGGGGCGCACAACCGGCGCAGGGGGCAGTCTCGCCTCCAGGCCAGCCAGGCGTCCGTCCAGCATATTCCCAACTGCGATGAGGATTTCACGCAGTTGGGAGTCAAATGCCCCTGAGTTGGTGGTAGGGGCAGGCTGGGACGCGGACGGGGCTTCCCGCTCGGGGAGGTTCGCCTGGAAGCGGGCGAACTGAGCGCTCAGCTCGTTCACCCGCTCCGTCAGTCTCTCGTTAGCCAACTGTAGGCGAGAGACATCGCCTACCAGGCTCTCCACGACCTCCGAAAAAGCGAAGGAGGAGTCCTTGAGGGCCCTCACAAACGAGCCCTTAAGGACGCTACGCTTAACGGACTTGGTGGCCACCTTGTGGATGACGGCCACCGCCGCTTTCGCCCTCTCCTGCACGGACACGGGAGCCTGGGGGGCATTTCCTCCCACCGGCTCCCGAACCTTGAGCAGGAGATCCGCGATCTCCTCCTCCGCTACGGTCTCGCCGTCCACTCGTACACTTCTGTACGACTCCGCGTTTAAGAACGCGGAGCCTGACGGGGTCGAGACCGAGGCCGAGGCCGGTTTACGTGGCCTCCCTCGACGGCTGCTTGCCACCTTTGGTGGCATCATCTCTTGGGACGTGTCGGTTTCCTCGTCCCCTGAGCGTTCGCGTTTCCGGCTGTCGCTGCGATGTTCCGCTTCCATGGCCTCCGCGCCATCCGACGAAACGGCGGATCCGGAACGCAGCCGATCCGATGCTCTTCGGCTCCCAGAGACCAGCTTCAGACTGACTTCTGGGAGCCCCACCGAGATAGGCGTTCCCGACACCATCTCGCCCTCAGTGGACGACCCATCCACTCCACTGTTCTGCTTCTCCTTCCTTCCCTTCGTTTTCTTCGTTTCCGATAGACTTGCCTTCTGTTGTTGGTTTTTCCGATCGTTTTTTGCTTTAGGTTTTGAATATTATCCATAATAAATCCCACGAGTGGGGGAGAACTAAAGGTCCACCCGGGCAGAGATCCCCCATTACCCGGGCAAGCGTAAGTTTTTAACCCAACCGAGGGGTCCGCAGATACCTCGGCTTGGAGTGCGCTCGAGACTGAACTTCCCATCAGTCATGCATCCCCTGGCCACGCACCAGAACACGGGATTCGGGGAATTTTTTAGAGAGGTTGTCTTCCTCGCGGTCTGGGCGGTTAAGCCAAGACCCTCGGATTACGATATGCCGACGGTTGACAGGGAGACTACGTCCCCCTGCCTGCTCTTTGGTAGTGTCAGTACACGCCGAGCCCGTCCTCCTTTCTCCACCGCTGTCAGCGGAGAAACTGTGGCCCCTACAGAGCCCCGCCATCCGATTTTTTCCTCCTCCATGCTCCGAAGAGCGAAGAGCCAGCAGGGCAACCGGCAGACACGCCCACCCTGCTGGACCAGACCTTGCCCGAGAGCCGATGAACGGCTTCCTCTTCTGCTAGAATATTAGCCGCTGGCGATAATCCGCTCCTCCAAGTGGACAAGGAGGAAACAGTGCCATCGCCAGCGTTTCCAGGGTGCACCACGGGGAGGTTTTCTGGCCTA